ACACACACACACATCATCAGGCACTCATGCACACATACACACACAAGCTTTGCATGCATGCAGTCAAAAGCAAAGTCTTAGAGTTCATACGTACAGAGTACTACAGACAAACGTAGATTGTTTTAGCTTTTTTTTTTTCGGAAGAGTTTTTTCATTCGTACATTAAATGAGATTACCGGTTTTCATTTTCACGAAGAGGAGAGAGAGAGAGAGAGAGAGAGAGAGAGAGAGAGAGAGAGAGGAAGGAAAAAGGATGTCACATGCTCCAACTGCGGCCAAAACTGGTCCAGCATAAATTTTGTCCCACTGCACGCTGAGATCACCACATACATACAGTTGTCCTATGGCACGTGCATCCTGTTTTTCTTTCTTTCTTTCCTCCTTTCTTTCTTTCTTTCTTTCCTCCTTTCTTTCTTTCTTTCTTTCTTTCTTTCTTTCCTCCTTTCTCTCTTTCTCTCTTTCTTCCACGTGTTCTTTCTTTCTTTCTTTCTTTCTTTCTCTTTCTTTCTTTCTTTCTTTCTTTCTTTCCTCCTTTCTCTCTTTCTCTCTTTCTTTTACGTGTTCTTTCTTTCTTTCTTTCTTTCTTTCACGTGATTTTAATAATTTAAAATCCGGCACTAGAAATGAGATATGGTCCATTGCACTAGAAATGAGATATTAATAATTTAATATTTCCTTTTTCTTTTCCCATCACGTCAAAAAACAAAGTGTAGTCTGTTACTGACAGGCCTAGATCAGTTGGTACACCCAAGACATAGGGCGCCGTTAAACACTCCTTGCGGACCCGAAATCCACAAGGACGTGATCGTTCCACCTATCCTCGGGAATGATTTTAAATCCTCAAGGACGTGATCGCTCCACCTATGCTCGGGGATGATTTTAAATCCTCAAGGACGGGGATGATTTTCGAAAAAAAATGTGAAAACGGCACAAGGAGATTTCCTTGTGGCGTCCTTGTGGCTCCAGCCAATTCTTCCTAATCCCCAAGGGACCTCCCTAGGTCCCTCAGAGCACAAGGAAGCGCGATATTCGGAGCGGCGAAGGCATGTGTCGACGCGGAGTTTCGTTTTGAGGGTGGTCCAGACGTGGTCCGCCCGACGGCAGCACGGACATCCCTGCCCTACGCCCTCGCAACGGTAACCCAACGGCTCCAAATGGTCACCGACGGCTTGGGTCTCCACTTGCCGGTTTCGTGGTCGCCGGCCGAACGTCGTTGTGTTTTTTGCGCGGGCAGATTGTCGTCAACAGTCGGAAATTCGAATGTTTTCGAGCGCCGCCCCATTCTTCGACGATGGAAGTGTTTTTTGCATACAAGATCGTCGTTTTCAGCGTTGTCATCACGTGCTGCTTGTCGACATACACTCCGGACTCTGCTGTCCACGACGACTTTCTTCGGTGGACAGTCGGCCTCTGACCTCACGTTGCTGTCCTGTCTGTGGCCCTTTCATGGCCGACCTGCATCACAGGCTGCCTCTGCTACTCCTCATCGTCGTGCTGGTTGTGATCGTTGTCCTCTTCCACGTGTGTTTCCTCGGCAGGCTTCTTGTCACGGTTCGTAAACGAAGGTCTTCGAAGAAGGGGGACAGGATGGAACGACGACTGACCGACGACAGACCGGCAGGCACGACAGCAGGATTGAGCAATCGGCAACGCACTGCAGGGTCTACGGGCAACCAAGCATACGACCTGATGTTGTATGCTCACCTGCCTTCGCATGAGATTCCCCTGCCACCGATGGATGACGAGCGTGAAGACGTGAGGTCATTCGCTGTGCCGTTGGGGAGTGGTTTGACGCAGGATTGGACGGGAACCCATGCCTTTCAGTGGCAGGCAGGCGGAGACCCCATTGTCTCACAAGTGGATGCTGAACGAGGGGCTGTGAGGCGACGATGGCAATGCAGGAGTCGATCTGACCTTCCAGTTGTCGAGCAGCAGCGGCGCGGCGGTGACAGACACGCGCATCATCAATCTCCACCCTAATGGGGATTGTGCCGAGCAGACATGGGTTGCTCGCTGCGGGGCGTGAGATGGCGGGCAAGCTCAAACGCTTCGCGACGGTGGCGGGATTCAATATTTGTCGTCTTTGGCGTCAGCCAGCGGAGAAGGCAGCGGAGATCCTCGTCCGGAATGGATGCGATCATCGCCTGCGTCGAGAAGCGGATCCAGGACTCCGTGTAGACCAGAGTGACAGGAGGATGCCTCCGCGGCGGGTGTGGACGTCGAACACACGGGCAGGCAGGTGTAGGAAAAGTGCAAGCAGACTTTCGTCCACCTGTAATGGAGTCCATAATGAAGGGAGTGCAACGGCTCGACATATATGCAGTGGTACAAAGTCCGTTGTCCCTTGCTTTCGTTAGTGTACGGGCCGGGCAGGCGCCCCTCCATCCTCCCCGGCATCTCAAGTGGGATCTCGTCGCCGATTGGCAGTTTACCCTCCTCGAACATCGCGAAGAACTTCTCCACCAGCGACCAAACCGTGCGGGTGGACGTGGCGAGGTTCAGGTACCTCCAAGTTTGTTACTCCAATCCTTGTTGTATTCGTTGTCGAGTGCCTGTTTCACAAACGCCTTGTCGCACGCCTTCCCCATGCAGGCCCTCAGGAAGTTCTGCCACATTTTCTGATGCGCAACGGCGACGGCATCTGTCTCGCTGACCTTAGCTTTGGGTGCCTCGATCCTGTTGTTGTCGATCCACCATTGCCTCATATCACGCACAGCGTCCTGGAAGGATAACATCATGGTGCGATTCTCCCGTGTGTTGTCAAAGAGGGAGACATTGAAGTACCCGCGTGTGTGGTCATCGTGGAAAAAGATGACTCGCACTTTAGAGTACGCGCGGAGGCCGTAGACTTTAACCGCGGGGGATTTCTTTGCAACCAACCGTTTCATGGCCTCGGCAGTATGCTGACCGCAAACAGCGTACCAGCCAAACTCTGCAGAGTCTCTTTGGAAGAACTCGTCTGGCGTGATTCGCCTTCCCTGCCCGCCGACGATGACGTTGGGGTCAACCGGTGCAAGAATGAGCTCAGGTCTATCCCACACCCCCGGGTCAGCACTAATGGAGCTTTCTATGGCACTCTCGATGCCTCTCACAATATTCTCAGATAACGAACGGTGGTTAAAAAGGATCCTCCCATGGGGAATGGGTTTGATCCTATTAACGTCGACGGTAAAAACACGGACGTCTTGCCTGGCGAAGCCCTGTTCGTCGTATTCGAGGAAGAAACATTGTGTCGTGTCGAGGGGCGCGGCGTGTTGAACCAGCTCTTCAATGTCTTCGGGCATGCGAGGCCCCACCCCCTCGCCCTCATCCCCCGAGTCCCGCAGCTCAGGTGCCCTGGACCTCTGCGAGCCTTTCCTACCGCCGCCGCGACCGCCGCCACGACCGCCACTTCGCCCCCCCCCACCAGTTTTTCGAGGAACCCGCGCTTCCTGGGATGTCGTCGACGCTCCGCGAGCTTCATTCACGGCGTCGGCCCTCGCCTGTTTTGTTCGACTCGCAGGAAAGGTCGACGCTTCTCCCCTCTTTTTCTTTCCCCGTGAGCCAGATTCGTCTCTCCCATCCTTCGTCTGGTTATAGGACTGCGACATTCTGCGGGAGGCCACAGGCTGGCCACCAGCATCGACCGCATCACCGACGCGGCAGGCGTCATCCTCACGGCGCCCCCGCGATTCATTCTTGTGGCGATGCTGAAATTGGGAGGAGCGATTGTCTTTGACTTCCTCACCAACATCGTCTCTCTCCTCGTCCATGTCATCATCCTCACCTTCAGCATCTCCTTCGTTACCGTCATCCCCCTCACCACCGCCCTCCCCCTCCTCACCACCGCCCTCCCCATCCCAACCACCGCCCTCCCCATCTTGGCCCTCGCATTCCTCATCATCGAAGGCATCTGCACCTCCCCGGGAACGATGCTGGGAACCAGCCCGATACCGCAGAGCTCCGTCGTTGTAGTCTGTGGCCTCGCTGGACTGCTCGGCCTCATCGCGACCTTGCCGATCCGAGGGCGGAACTGGAGCGGGCAGAGCCTGGACAACCGCAACCGACGAAGAAGGGGCAGTCGCCAATTGCTTCCTCTTTCCACCCGCTCTGGCCGGCTGATCTTGGCGCAGTTTGGGGCCCGCAGCCGACGAAGAAGGGGCGTCAATCGACACGAAAACACAGTCAACTTGCTGGGCAGCAGGCAGCCTCACGAACTCTTCCCTGTATCGCATAACGAAGTTGCGAGTTGGTCCGTCGGGCTGTTGAACTGGACCAAAGGTCTGCTGAGCATGAAAGCGCTGTTGACGACGGGCAGGGACCCAGTCACGCGGTAGCCATTGGTTTTGGAGAGAAACTTTTTCGGATCCAACATTTGGAACTCCGTTCCATTCCTGCGCACGTCAAACACTTTCGTCGACAAAGCCTTGACCCCGTATCCTTGGAAGAGACGATGGTCAAGAGACACCTTCTTGTCTTCCTTGACTCATTTTTTCCCCTCTCTGTCATAGACAAACGTAAGGAAGAAGGTCCTAAACTTCCTGCCATCGTAGGTAAACCTCCGCGCTTCCGATTTCTCCACCCCTCCGCAGGAGTACCAACTCAGGCCGTTGTCATCGCTCAAGAAGACAACGGCTCCGCAACCCGATGTATGAAGGCCACCGACCAAATCAAGAGCCCATGGTTTGTCGTGGTAGAGCTTAGACCTGCCGTATGACCGTTTTTCGGGGGCGGAGCCCGAAGCTGATTTTCCTGAAGGGCCGCACAGAAAAAGACAACAAGAGAACAAAACTAAGTTGACATGAAGAAGCATTCGTTGCGGCATGGGAATTCGACGGACCCCTTCCGCTTTCGGCCCGCGTAGTGGGTCTGGCATTCCTAGGACGTCGGACCCCACAGCCATTGTGTGTGCGGGTCTGGGGTCCCCAAAATAGCAGACCCCACCAGCGTGCCTGTCGGC